CCACTGGCCCACAGGGCGACCCACAGCCCCACGGTGTGACCCACAGCCCCACGGTGTGACCCACAGGGTGACCCACAGCCCCTCGGTGTGACCCACAGCCCCAGCACAGCTGACCCCACACCCTCAGCACCTCTGGCGGGGGCTGCAGGACGGGTTCCCCCACCCCTGACCATCCCCTGGGCAGAGCCAAGAGGGACGATACCCTGGGGAACGGCCCCGGGACCCCCGGGGTGGGGGGCACAGACCCACCTCCTCCCTGTTCCTGGCCGTGGAGTCACAGGTGGTGTTCTTGGGATTCCTCAGCGGCACCCACTCCCCACCGCGGTCAAACGTGATGACAGACTGGATGGAGTTGTCTGGTGGGAGGAGGAGGAGGAGGAGCTGATGGGGTCAGGAGGACACCCAGGGCATCCTCACCACCCCTGCATGGGGGACACGCTCCCCTCCAGCCCCCCACCCCAGCACCCAGCACCCAGATCCCATCACTGGGGACACACAGTCCCAATTTTGGGGGTGAGGAGGGGACAGGGATGGAGTCACCCACCTTCAGAGAGGACACTGGTGATGTAGATGCCCCGCAGCGAGGTGACGTTGGTGAAGTCGGTCTCCCCACCGGTGGTGGTGTAGAGATGTCGCTCCAAGGACTTGGAGTAGACGATGCCACGGTCATCAGAGGTGTAGATGGTGCCAAAACCCGTGTCTGTGAGGGACATGGGGACAGCAGTGAGGGGTGGGTCAGGGGGGGATGTTCCCATGGGGCCACCACAGACTGACATCAGCACCAGCAAACCCTTGGGGTGAAACCACCCCAGTGACCCAGCGTGGTCACAGTCCCTGGGTGCTGCAGAGAGTGGAGAGCCCCACGCTGGGGTGAGGAGGTATTTCCAGTTGTCCCCAGCCCCAGGACGTGTCCCTGTCCCACTCACCACCTGGTTCATCCACGTGCATGAACACCAGGTCATCGTTAGCAGCCAGGATGGAGTAAAACTGCTCGTGCCCCACAGAGGGGAGCTGGGCCATGTTCCAGGTCTCACCTTGGTCGAGAGAGACATGAATGCGCCTCGTCGTGCCCTGAGGAACCAAAAACATCATCATCCTTCATCCTCCTCACCAGGAGAGGAAGGGGAAACACCAGGGAAGAGCTGCAGGTGGGGACAAGCCACCACTACCCGCTCTCCCAGCACTGGGTGGGGGACAAGGACCTTCTCTGTCATGACTGAAGCGAAAAGAAATCGTCCTCCCAGCCCGAAGGAATAAATCTTGGTGCCGATGACCTTGAAGGTTTTGCCAAAGTCCGAGGTCTTCTTGAGCTCCAGTAACCCCAGATCAGCTTCTTAAGAAGAAGAGATGGTGGATTAACGAGCCCGGAGCTGCCTCCAGCTTCATCAGCCCTCACTGGAGCTGTGTCCCCCCCTCTCAATGGCCCAATGTGTCCCCCTCCAGTGTCCCAGCTCTGGCTATTCCCAGTTCATCCCAGTTTTGCTGCTTGGAAGTCCCTGCAGAGCTCTGAACAGCTTCCTGGACCAAGCTCTGATGGGAACACACTGCGGTCCCAGTGTCTGCCCTACCCCTTACACCAGTATGGACCAGTAGCAGTGAGCAGTCCAGGTAGAGGAGCTCCTCTGCTTAGTGGCAGACCTCTAGGAGATGGTGAGAAGGTTGAGGAGCATCAAGGAGTGTGAGATGGACCATTGGAGCCACACCCCACCCTCCCTGGGACAGGCCCAGCAGGCAGACAGGGCACACGACACAGACAATTCCCTGCTCCCTCCCTCTCTGCCTGGCCAGACTTGGGGACAGGGGACAATGGCAACAGGTTCACAGCACCGTTTGGGTTGGAAAAGACCTTTAAGATCATTAAGTCCAACCAAAGATCATCGAGTCCAACTGACTTTCTGCTGGGGACAGCAGGTGCCTCTCCTCTGTCACCACCCCACCTTCTCCAGTGCCCTTGTGAAATCGGAATGAGGCTCTGCGAGAAGAACCAAACCATGGCAAGGGGGATGGTTCATCTAGGCTGGAGGTGGCACCCAGGTTGATTTGGTCCACACCCTCCAACAAAACTGCTTCCAGAAAGGAAAACAAGCCAGGTCATTGTCACTGGAGACGCCCAGGGAAGGGAACAGAAGGTCCAACATGCAGCCCAGACCCACTTCCTAGGGAATTCTGCTGGGGCCTGGGCTGAAGATGAGAAGAAGGAGGTTCCTGCCCTGGTTGGGTGCATTCAGAAGACTGTGGCCAGCAGGTCGAGGGAAGTTCTCCTCCCTCTCTGCTGTGCCCCAGTGAGGCCACATCTGAAGTGCTCTGTTCAGTTCTGGGCTCCCCAGCTCAAGAAAGACCAGGAGCTACTGGAGAGAGTCCAGTGGAGGGTGATGAAGATGATGAGGGGCCTGGAGCATCTCTCTGATGAGGACAGGCTGAGACCTGGGTCTGCTGAGCCTGGAGAAGAGCAGCCTGAGGGGACCTTCTCAATGCTCATCAATATCTAACGGGTGGGTGTCAAGAGGATGGGGCCAGGCTCTTGTCGGTGGTGCCCAGTGACAGGACAAGGGGCAATGGGCACAAACTGGGACACCAGAAGTTCCAGACAAACTGAAGGAAAAACTTCTTC